CTCTCAAACTTGGAGTTAGACCTATTGCTCATCCACCATATAGGTTAAACCAAGAAAGAAAAGATTTCTTAGAAAAAGAAATTGATAAGATGTTAGAAACAGGGATTATCCAAACCTCTGAAAGCCCTTAGGCTTTGTAATTATATCAAAGAAAACAAGAAATCTAAGAATTTGTGTTGATTATCGACCCCTGAATGCAATCACTATTACTAACAGTTATCCAATCGCAAACATGCAAGATTAATTAGAAAACTTTAGGATTGCAAAATATTTTACTGCTCTTGACTTAGCTAGTGAATACTGGCAAGTAAAAATGCATTCAGAAAATCAACCAAAGACTGCCTTTATAACACCATCAGGTTTTTATGAGTTCAAAGTAATGTCCTTCAGATTAAAGAATATACCTGCAACCTTTTAATGTTTAATGAATCGAGTATTACATTAACCAATTGGAAAATTTTGTGCCGTTTATCTTGATGACATTATTATCTATTCCACTTCATTCAAGGACCATTGTCAACATGTTCAACAAGTTTTTAATAGACTTAAAGAAGCAGGATTAAAAATTAAGCCAAGCAAACATACCTTTGCTGTCAACGAAGTTAGCTACTTAGGACATATTGTAGGTAGTAATAGAATCAAACCTGACTAGAAGAAAATTCAAGCAATGATTGATTTACCAACTCCAAATAATCCCAAGAAAGTACGCATGACATTAGGACTCTTTTCTTATTATCAACATTTCATTCAAAATTTTGCCAAAATTGTTGGGCTGTTACATGATCTTACAAAGAAAAATACTGAATAGTCATGAACTTCTGAACACCAGAATTCCTTCGACATTTTAAAAGGAAAAATGATTACTGCCCCAGTACTTGCATAATCAAACCTGAAAATAAATTCATTTTACAGACTGACACATCTGATGAAAGATTAGGAGTGGTACTCACTCAAAAAGATGAACAAGTGTTAGAATATCCAATTGCCTATACTAGTCGAAAACTATTTAGCTTAGAATTAAAATATATCACAACAGAAAAGAATGTCTTGCCGTCAGATGGTCTATTGAACATTTTGATCATTATTTATATTACTAATCTTTTGAAGTAGTCATTGATCACTCTGCTTTAAACTGGTTATTAACTACGAAGCATGTAAAAAGACGAGTTGCAAGATGGGCTTTATTTCTTCAAGAATACGACTTTACTATTAAATATAGACCTGGTATCAAAAATCAAAATGCTGATACATTCTCCCGAATGGTCTCAATCAATATAACATTAATTGAAGAAGATGAGGAGGAAGATAATCAGTGGATACTAATACACTTTTCTGCTTTAAATATCCTAGGATGTCAAACAAAATAGCAATAGAATGGATTATATAATAATAGAAAATATCGAAAGAATACTTATACCTGTGAGAAAAATGACTACCATTCTCATTGGTATTGTACCAATTGTTTTCAGTATGCCAATCCATATGAAAACTACATATCTGCGCCTACAGAGCATACTATTTGCCATTGCAACGAATATGAATATTATGAATATTTAAATATAACATCTGATGAAGATGATGAAGAAGTTGAACAGCAACCAAAACAAATTGAGGAAAATAGTGAATCAGAATTCAACTTTAGCGACGAAGAAATTGAATCAATCGTAGATGGTAAAGAACAAGATTGGAGGCAAGATCTGCACAATATCTTCTTGAATGCTGCTGAATTTAAACAAACTATCATTAAACAAATGAATGGTAATCGACTTGAGGAATATGCTCAAGAATATTCCGTTAATTATACACTTTGTGGAATAATTATCACTACGAACCTATACCATGAATGTATTATTGGATATAATCTTGAACAACTACACCCCGAGATGGTCCCTGAAACTTTAAGCACTGAAGTATTTTGGGATATACCAGAAGAAGTGCAGCGGAATGACGAAGCTTGTTTTACAACAGTTGAACTACTAAAACTAATCAATAATCCTCAAACACGTGAATGAATAGAAAATGAACTTGATGAAATATTTGGACCCTTTGCACCTATTATTATTTCTATTTATGCCTCAACTTTTAATAAAGTTCGTAGTAGAGCTAGCACCCCTAGTTATTAAACATTTATCTTTATTTAATTATTAGTATAATATTATTAAATTTAAATTAGCAAAATATCAAAGTTATTTATTTCTATTTTATTATTTTAAAGAGATAACACCTAGTTGAATAGTACTTAGTGAGTGAAAGTCTCAATGTTCGAATAATCTAATTGAGTGTAAGCGAAAGTGTAAGCATTGTGACTTGCAGCTCAATTATTTAATATGGATATATAACAATACTTCGAAATACAGCAATATTTAAATCACAATAAATACCCTGATTACGTCCAATCGAATCAGGAAAAGAAAAAGTTTGTAAATATGACAAATACTTTACAATTCAAAATTCAAATTTATACCGATATGATAGAAGACGAGCTGGACACCTTTTACAAGTTCTCAAACGGTATGAATTAGAACCAATACTATATATGATGCATAATAACCCTACAGCCAGACATTTTGGAATTGAGATAATGTTCAACAAACTTAGGACATAATATTATTGGCCACAAATGTATGAAGATATTAAAGCATACGTTAAAGTTTGTGATTCTTGCCAATGAAGAGGAAGACCAAGTAAGAATAATGAATTACATCCCATCCCACCACACAACCCTTTCTATCAGATAGAAATAGATTTCATTGGGCCATTACCAATAACACTACAAGGAAATTGATACATTATCATAGCCATTGATATTTTCACTAAATAGCCTGAAGCAAAAGCTGTAAAGGAAGCAACTGCTAGTCAAGTTGCTCAATTTATCTATGAAGATATCATATGTAGACATGG